TTGACATACGTAGTTTACTGCCTTTCTCTCTACTTATTATCATCTAACTACTGGAAAGCACCCAGTTTTCTTCAATTATTTAGAAACCTGCAATAAACATGGTTTAGTTCCAAAACTCCAAGTATATTTTAAATCACACTTAATTTTCTAAAGAATGAATCTTTGCTCTATTGAAGATGATTCAAAGTTTTAGAAATTCATCTCGAACCTTTAAGTAGTTTCTGGCTTGCCCAGAAATACTTTTTGGGTGGTAAGATTCCAATTCTGATGAATGTCATTATACATCCACTGTCCTCCTGGGTTGCGATGGCAGCTGCTAGCTGCTTAAAAAGCTAGTTTTTAAAAAATGACTTAAAGGAAAAGAAATGACTGTTTCATTTTCTCTCAAATAAAGAAAAATATGTGTAATATATTTAAAGTGAAGTTGCTTTTCAAGCTTTAAAAATGTGGATGGCAAAAGCTAGATCCACTTCGGTTTGGACAACACAGAGACTAAATCATTGGACTCGCGCAAGAGTCAACTGCCTTTTGAAATTAATAGTAATTTCTTTAGTAAGAAAGAAAAGACCATTACAAATGAGAGAATTTTTTCAATCCTGTCAATTAACATTTCTTGAGCACTGAATAAGGTATAAAATGTTTTCTCATCTACAATCTAGTTAGTATCTACAGCAACCCAGTTTAGGCAAGTAAGACAAATATCATCATTTTATCCCCACTGAGCCAAAGGAAGAACTGTGTTTCGAAAGCTCAACGATGATTTCAAACCTTTTTTTTTTTTTTTTTACATCCAATTCATGGCAATTTCTTTCTTAAAGATCATTTGTTTTTGACTATTCTGAATAGTCGTACCTAAATTATCTTCAGGTAGGTTGGCAAAAAAAACACAATAGAACAAATATTTACCAGCAACATTATGAATAAGACCAGAGAAAGAACGTATAGCGCAGTCCACTTCTAAAATGATTAAAAGAGGAGACAAATATCACAGTATGCTAGAGTATTTTGATTACAGGTACAATTTTTCATAATACAGAATTAAAGTCTAGACATTCTTTAATTTATATTCTCCTAAAAAAATACCACAAATGTCTCATCATTTAGGTAAAAACTAAATTAAGAAAATTTCCATTTTCAGGTAAATATAAGTAACAGTCAATTTAGCAATTAGACGAAATAAAGTTTTTGTTGCTGGTGTCTGAAGAACTGTTTTATATTATCTTTGGGGGTTGAGAGAAGAGGTAGGTATAAAAGCAATGTTTTAAATTATATTACACTTCAATGATAAAAATATAAAGTTATGTTACTTTTTAAATCTCTGCCAATAGGTGAAGAAGCAATTTTTTTTAATATAAGGTGGTATTTCACCTTATATTAGTATCAATATACAATATTATATCTTATATCAATGTTACAGTTGGAGATTAATTCTACAGAACCTTTTAAGTTTATTGCTGTGTCAACCTATCAGCTGATAAATATGAGTACAGTCATGAATACAGTTAAATGTGTTTTAAATGTTTTTAAATGTTTTTTAAAACATTTTAATATGATCAGCAAAGCTACCAAGAACATTTTAACTAATCTTCATATGCATTTTGTAATGAAAAAAGATACTATAGTTGTTTAGCTAATTAATATCCATTTTCTTTTCCTTTGGTTTAGTACAAATTTATACATTAGAAAACTTAATAAAATTATCTAACCTATTTTGGAGGCTGAGAAAAAGTTCAACAAAGAAAAATGACTTTCTTCTTGCTCAACTCTTCTTTAAAAAGAAAAAAAAAGGAAAGAAAATTAAGTAGGGAAAAACAAAATACAGAATTCCTTGTGTTAAAGGCATGGTTAGTTCAGTTTTTTAAGGGTGTATTTTCAGCTATGTTGTCATCATCATCAAAATTCTATGCTCTACAGAGTCATATCAAATTAATGCTCACTACTCACAGGTACATTTTTTTTTTCCAAAGACATATTCTTTTAAATGCATTATTAACCCAAAAGTTTGGCTCTACTCTCAATTTTCAAACTTTTTTAAGTGAAAGCTCCTTAGTGAGAAGAAGTTGAGATCTAACGTATACAGAGACCCTGAGACCCTGTAACTTTGGGCAGAAAAGCTATTCTTTCATCTAGATAAGAAAATAGGTTAGTGGGGTGCCTGAGTGGCTCAGGAAGTTAAGAGTCCACTTGGGCTCAGGTCTTGATCCTGGGTCCCTGGAATGGAGCTCAGCATGGGGCTCTCTGCTAAGCAGGGAGTCTGCTTCTCCCTCTGCCCTCCCCCACTTATGCTTGTGCTCTCTGTCTCTCTGTCTCTGAAATAAATAAATAAAATCTTAAAAAAAAAAGAAAGAAAAAATAGATTAGTCATTTAAATTTTCCCAGCATACTGCCTGTTCCTATTTTCTATCACAATTTCATTTATCTTAGTTTTTCCCATCTCTCCAGTAAAATTAAGGGCTCACTGATTAAATCTGATGTTCTTCAAATTCTTAGACACTTAATAAATATTGGTTGATGAAAATAATTCACCAAATGCTATCCCAAGTATATGGAGAGATTTTAAATTATGTTACACACCCTCACAAAGGGTAGCATTTTAAAAAATCAACTTGAATTGTAAAAAAAAAAAAAAAAAAAGTTAACAGAGGGCATTTTTACATTAAAATAGGAAGTAGATAATTTTTAGTTTTCTGTTTACAAAAAATTTTTTAATTATTATACTTTTGATATATAAGCATTAAATCCTAAATAAAATTTTAAAATGCAGTTTTCCAAATGCACATAGGGCCCAAGTATATTTACGAGACACAATTTCTAGTAAATCAACATTAGTCCTTATGACAGTTCCCAAATCTAATTCTCATATAGTTCCTTTCCCATATTTTTATATTTCTAAAACCTACTTAGTGGGTTTAATCATAAATATGTTGGAGGGGGTACCTAACGCAAGTACCAAATTTTAACTGAGGTTCTTATAGTAGTTTTGGTATCTCTATGTAAAAATCAACTTGTACATTCTCAATCAATACTTCTCAATCTTATAAATGGCCATAAAAAGAAGTAATAAAATAGAATGCCAAAAGTGCCTGAATGATAGGTGGATGTCTAAATGGTCTTTTAACAAAAAACTACTAGTCAAGACAGTTGTATAGAGAAGATGGAGAAATAGTAATGTTTGTGTTTAAGAAAGAATTATTAATGACTATTTTAATAAAATTTAAGAAGTCTCTTATCCCCATAATTTTATATAATTTCATAATTATCATCAGGCAAACAAAACTAATCTAAGTCAGCAGATCACATGGTCTTTCTCAAAACTTTCCTTGAAGTTTTCAATAACTCTCAAGAAACAGGCCTCATCTAATTTGCAGGACTGCAAGTCCTTAGACCTGTGATTTCCAATAAAGGAGCCAGTAGACATATGTAACCACTGAACACTTGAAATAAGGTTAGTGCAACTGAGAAACTGAATTTTAAATTTTATTTAATTTTAATTACTTTATTAAATTTAAATTTTAAAATTGCTATTCAACTCAGTTACTAGAACTTTTAATTCTGTTTGAAAAAAACTTGGGTTTGTATTCTTAAACTGAAAATTTTATTAAATCTAAATATAGATCAAGTATTGCCAATGAAAAAATATCAGAGCTAAAAGAATACAAAAGAACAAAAATACCTCAATGAATTTTATATTGATTATATTAGTATTAAAATATTTTGATATACTGGGTTAAATAAAATTTTTCATTATTAAAATTCATTCAACTGTCCATCTTTTACCTTTTTTAATATAGCTACTAAAAGTTCTGAATTACATAAGTGGCTTACATTATATTTCTATTAGACAGTACTGCTTTAGACAACATGTATAAAATCAAAACTTTTTAAAAGTCGGCTTCTTTAAGGTATAATCTACATGCAATAAAATGCAGTCTTTTACAAGTATAGGTCTATAAATTTTGACAAATGTATGCAGTCATGTAACAACCAGCATAACTGGTACATAAAATATTTTCATCACCCCAAGAAGCTCCTTCGTGCTCCTCTGTCAACTCACAACTCCTACCTCCAAGCCCTGACAACTCTGTCTTCTGTCCCTATAGCTTTGCCAATTCTAGAATGTCATATAACTGGAATAATATAGCATGTAGACTTTTAAATCTGATAAAATCAAATTTTAAATACTACAGTACTCTCCCGGCACTAAGGATGATTATCATTCTGATATTTCCTTGTATTATGAACATTTTGCCAAGGCCTGGTTTTCATTATTCTACTTCTAAAACTGAGCTTTCTTCCTTGTCACTGTTACAGTAATTTATTTATACCACTAGAATACAACTGTATTATAGTTCTTTACATACAAGTTCTTCCTCACTAGACTGTAAGCCAGAAGCCTGACATCTAGACCAACTATGCTTTCCATCGGGTTAACTGCCTAATGAAATTAACAGTGCAAATAACAGGCTAAGAAGATATTCATTTAAAAAAAAATTGAGATTGTATTATAAAAAAGGAAAAGAAAAACAAAAAGAATTGAGTCATGCAGAAGTTTATCCTCTAGATTAGACGTCTACTTTTACTGAGGTCTCAAAAAAGGGTATTAGGCTCTAGAAGATCCAAGAACTACAATGCCATCTAACCAGGTGCAAATGCTAGTGGAGATTTAACTTACACCAATATTTTCACCCAGATTGCTATTGATTTTGTCAGGGCTTGCTAACAAAGTTGAATAAATTTGGAGCAGTCTGTCCTAGCACTATTTTTCTCATAAACTCTGTTACTTCTGGTACATGATTTTACAGAACATAAAAGTTTTTCAGGAACACCTGTATTACATGACAGTAGGAACCACATGAAGGTAAAGACAACAAATCCGATGGCTATCTGAAAGGTCGGATATTTGTAATCAGTAATTTTCATATAAATCTATGAAGTATAACAAGTCTTTAAGTAAATAAATAAATTTTGTACAACTAACTTTAAATCTTTCAAACACTTACTGAAGTCTCCAGTAAGAAAAACTCCTTCTGCTCCTGGGGCCCATTCTTTGCAGTATAAACCACCATCGGCACATGTGTGGACACCAAATGATTCATAACCTCTGGAAAATTTATCAATACCACCTTCGTTCTCTTCGATGTTGTTCAAAGTCTCCTTAAACCGCTTATACCTTTGAAAAAGTGCAAAAGAAGGAAGTTAGAAAACAAAATCATATTCCCGGAAAGCTACTGTAATTAAGTAAATGCTTTATTTACTCTTGTTCAGAAAAAGGAAAGAAAAAAGATATTAAAGAGGAATAATGTGAATAATTTCACATAATAAGGTAGCAATTACCTCACAGGATAAAATCATCCTTATCTCAAACTGAACCAATCTAACATTTTTTGGTAATTTCATGCATTTTGGTATGAGAGAGAAAATACAGTTGTTCTATATTCCATGAAATTTTTTAAAAATCAGCATTATAGCAACTTCTATGTCAAAATAGTATGATGAAGGAGCATCCCTATGTGTCTCTCTTCTAACCCCTAAGAAAATAAAAGAAAAATAGTCAAAAGCCAGAGAGATAAATAAAATTACCCTACAACAGGGTTTGGCGGATTTTTCCTGTTAAAGGATAGATAGTAAATTGGTCCACTTCACAACAACTCAACTATCTCTCTGAAGCATGAAAACTGCTGCAGACAACATGTAAATGAATGGGTATGGCTGATGCCAATAACACATTATTTACAAAACAGTTATTGGCCAAATTTGGCCTATGGGTGGTAGTTTGCCTAGTCTGCCCTATATCAACTAAGCATGGAAAGAACATACTACATCGTGTCAAACTGTAAAAGCTAGTGGCCACGAGAAGAAACCAAAGATTCCTTCCCAAGGAGGACCAAGAGTAGCACATGGTTGTTCCTGACCCTCTCCCAGAGCCAGAGTCCATACAGCTATGCCAACGAAACACTACTATTGTCACTAATACCAACAGATCTAGGGAGAAGCTAAGACAAAACAGGTGAAACTGAAGTGAGGCAGGTGGTAGGTGCTTTTTGTCAGAAGTGAAGGTTCCAGAACAATGAACTGAGCAATGCTAATAAGCTTCCTTGCACTTCCCCAGACCCTGAGGGGTGAGCAATAAAAGTCCCAGAAAGATGACATGAATCCAAGTAGGGGATATACAGGGAATATTTTGCACTATATTTCAACTTAATTAAAAATGAACGCAATAGGGGTGCCTGAATGGCTCAATCGGTTAAGAGTCTGCCTTTGGCTCAGGTCATGATTCCAGCGTCCTGGGATGGAGCCCCGGGTCAGGCTCCCCTGCTTAGCAGGGAGTCTGCTTCTCCCTCTCCCTTACCCCTGCTCCTGTGCTCTCTCTATATATAATAATAAATAAAATCTTTAAAAAACTGAACTCAATAAAAATAAGAGATGAGGAAAAAAATAAGAGATGAGGGATTATATGACAAAACAATAGAATGAGAGGTAAAATGAGACCCCTACACCTAAGGAAACAAAAGGAGGAACAAAATATGTCACTGGAAAATAATAAATTAGAATTGGCAAGAAACAAAATGCACATATAATAAAAATAGCAAATTATTAAATGAATAAATAATTGGAAATTTATGTAATTAGAGAAGAAAAAGGCAAAGAAGTGGAGTATATTAAAGAAGCTAAGAGGTACGCAAAATTGACAAAAATGTTCTAAATAAGGATAGCTGCTGACTCCGAAGAACAAAACCAAATAAAATGATGTAAAAAATATAAAGCTGGAAAATTTTTCTCTCAGAATTAAATCTGCATATTTGCGGTACCTGGGCAGCTCAGTCGGTTAAGGGCTCGGCTCAGGTCATGATCTCCAGGTCCTGCCCAGTGTGGGTCACCATGCTCAGTGGGGAGTCTGCTTGTCCCTCTCCCTCTCCCTCTGCCCTGCCCCCCAGCTCATGCTCACTCTCTCTCTCAAATAAATAAAATCTTAAAAAAGAATTAAATTTGCATATTAAAAAAGAGCATGCTATGTTTTAAGAAAAATTTGGAAAACAAACACAAACACGCACATGTGCAACACCTCCCAATTTAAGCTACTGAAATTCAAAGGATAAAGAAAGAACTCCTCAGACAACCAGTCATAAAAAAGCAAGCAGAGGGAGGTTTTTTTGTTTTGCTTTGTTTTTCTCAAAGGAACATTACACTAAAGACCAAAAGATAAAGCCAAGCCCACACATTTCTGAGAAGGAAAGGGAATAATCTAATGGTATTATATAAGGCAATTTCCTCAAACCTAAGGAATTCTTTAAATACTGTCAAATTAAAAAATAAATTTAAGTTTATTACACTAATAAACTATGGTTGAAGAGGAAAAAAACCAAAACTAGGTGATTAAAAGATTAAAAACATACACAGAGGAATTAAAAGTCATGGCAGCAGCGTTGCTGAACTGAGTCTTTAAATATAGAACCATGGCTAGACAATGGTGCATGTGTGTGAATGTGATAACAAAAAATAACCTCAGTGATTAAAGTAAATTTTATTGTAAAAGAAATGAGCTGAGGGAAAGGAAAACAGAAGAAAATACAGTGTACACCTATTTTGCCCATTGCCCCACCAACCTCCTCTCTGGCAACCACCAGTTTTTCTCTATATTTTTAAGAGTCCATTTTTTGTCTCTTTTTTTCTTTGTTCGTTTGTTTTCTTTGTTAAATTCCACATAGTAGTGAAATCATATGGCAGATGTCTTTCTCTGACTGACTTATTTCACTTAGTATTCTAGGTCCATCCATGTTGTTGCAAATGACAGGATCTCATTCTTTCTTTCTTTTTTTGGTATTAATTTAATTTAATTTTATTTTATTTTATTTTACTATGTTACATTAATCACCATACATTACATCATTAGTTTTTTTTTTTTTAAAGATTTTATTTATTTATTTGAGAGAGAGAATGAGAAAGAGCACATGAGAGGGGGGAGGGTCAGAGGGAGAAGCAGACTCCCTGCCGAGCAGGGAGCCCGACGCGGGACTTGATCCTGGGACTCCAGGATCATGACCTGAGCCGAAGGCAGTCGCTTAACCAACTGAGCCACCCAGGCGCCCACATCATTAGTTTTTGATGTAGTGTTCCATGATTCATTGTTATGGCTGAGTAATATTCCATTATGTGTGTGTGGGTGTGTGTGTATATACACACACTTATAAACATACATACACACACACACACACCCAGTTCTGTATCCTCTGTATCCATTCAATTATCAATAGACATTTGGGTTGATTCCATATCTTGGCTACTGTAAATAATGCTGCAGTAAACGTAGGGGTACATATATGTTTTTGAATTCGTGTTTTCATTTCCTTTGGGTAAATGGCCCATAGTACAATTACTGGATCATACAGTAATTCTACTGTTAAGTTTTGGGGGAGCCTCCATACTGTTTTCCACAGTGGCTGCACCAGCTTGCATTCCCACCAATTGTGTATGACTTGTATAAGTTCTTCATATATTTTGGTTATGAACCCCTAATCAGATACATCATTTGAAATTATCTTCTCCTACTCATGAGGGCTGCCTTGTTTGGTTGATAGCTTCCTTTGTTGTGCAAAAGGTTTTTATTTTGTTGTAGTCCCAATAGTTTAATTATGCTTTTGTTACCCTTGGCTGAGAGGACATATCTAGAAAAATATTTCTATGGCCAATGTCAAAGAAACTACTGCCTATGTTTTCTTCTAGAAATGTTATGGTTTCAGAACTCACATTTAGGTCTTTAATCCATTTTCAGTTTATTTTTGTGTATGGTGTAAGAAAGTAGTTCAATTTCATTCTTTTGCATGTAGCTGTCCAGTTTTCCCAAAACCATTTGTTGAAGAAACTGTCTTTTTCCCACTATATATTCTTGTCTTTCTTGTTGTAGATTAATTGACCATAACAGTGTAGGCTTATTTCTGGGCTCTGTATTCTGTTCCATTGATCTGTGTCTAATTTTGTGTCAGTACCATACTATTTTGATTACTACAGCTTTATAGTATACCTTGAAATCTAGAATTGTGATATCTCCAGATTTGTTTTCCTTTTTCAAGATTGCTATTTGGGGTCTTTTGTGGTTTGTACAAATTTTAGGATTATTTACTTTGGTTCTGTGAAAAATGTTGCTGGTATTTTGATAGGGATTACATTAAATCTGTAAATTGCTTTGGATGGTACGGACATTTTAACAATACTGGTTCTCCAATCCATCAGCATGGAATAGCTTTCCATTTCTTTGTGTCATCTTCAATTTCTTCATCAATGTTTTATAGTTTTCAGAGTACAGGTTTTCCCCTCCTTGGTTAAGTTTATCCCTAGGTATTTTATTCTTTTTGGTACTATTTGATATATTGTAAATGGCTTAAACCCTTTGTTGACAGATGTACACTCCAGAAAACAACATTTTTGAGTATAAAGGAAGATGTATATAAATTTCAGACATTTCTTTCATTTCACTTCAGTATCTTTGTTTCAAATAAATTTAAGTTAAATTTAACACATATTTTTCTCATGTTTCATTATATTATTTCTGTCTATCAAGATATTTCTCTATTCTCCTACCTATATGTAAGCATACAGAATATCAGGAATAATGTTCCCCAAATATTAGTGACAATTTCTTTCATGGGGTTTCTTTTTACTTTCTCCCTTGCATTGTTCCAATCATTTATAACAAATAAGTACCATTTAAATAAAAAATGGGTTGTGAGATTGAGCCCCACATCAGGCTCCAGGCTCAGCGGGGAGTCTGCTTGAGATTCTCTCTCTCCTCTCCCTCTGTCCCTCCCCCATGTGCTTGCACACTCTCTATAAATAACCTTAAAAAAAAACAAAACCAATAGTTCACAAAAAAATACAAATGGCCAATAAACATATGAAAAGATGTTCAAATTCTTATGTAACTAAAGAAGTGCAAATCCTAAACTTGAAAATTCTACTTTCTACCTAAAAAAATCAGTAAACATGATAGTCTGTGTGAACACAGTATAGCGCAGAGGAAAAGACATTCTCAAAGACAGTTTGGTATGATATAAACCAGAGAACAATTTGGCATCAGCTATGAAAATTTCAAAATCACGAAGTAATTCCATTTTTAGAAATTTATGCTTTGGATCTACAGAACAAGGAAGCAAGGCCATCTATGGTGTACAGTGA